ATGTATTTCTGGCTGCCAGCATGATTTTATCCTTTATATGGTAGAAATGAATCCGGGCTAAAACATCTCTAGGAATGGAGGCCGATAGGAATGTTGGTTTGGGTAGGCGGTGGGCTCGGTCTATGGCCAGCTCTAGATCTGAGATGGATGGAATGAGGGCTTTTATATACTGTTGTATATAGGACAGTAATGTCTCATTAGTGACGCTTTCAGGTATGCCCCTAAATTTGATATTATTACGCCTTGAGCGATCTTCTAGATCGGCTAGTTTCAAATTGATTTGTTCGATGTCCAAGGTATGATCTGAATATGCGTCAATCAGATCATTATGCGCTAAAATGACGTCGCCCATTTTGGTTTCAATATGTTGTATTCTTTGCTCTTGGTGTTTGACCACATTAGTGATGTGTACCAAAGATGATGATAAATCATTATGCAGAGTTTGCTTAAGGGATAATAGCATGTTCTTCATGCATATTTCGGTTACTGGCTGATCTGTTGCTGGGAATGCCTCTATGACAGGGAGGTCTGTGTATAATTGTGAGGGTGGATCACTGAGGGTCTGGGATGCCTGCTGTTGTTCAGGGTCCAGTCTAATTCTGGATTTGGCTGGGCTTCTTGTGGTGGGGGACAGAGGGGGAGACAACTCACCAGGGTCCCCTGGATATAGCGTGTATCTCAGCCTTGGATCTTGTTGCTGGGCAGAGTAGTCCCCCTGCTGCCTGCTGTCCCTCATGTCACTGCCGCCGGCGCCATCTTGGATTTCTGCCGTGATGGCAGGGAAGAAATGTGTCAATTTCCCCGGCTGTCCCGGGGTTTTTCTCCTGCGGGGCATGTCTGGGGAGGATCGGGCACCGCTTATGCTGCTCTCTGTGCTGTCGGAATTCCCTGGGGTCAGTGTGAGCCGCGATCGTTCTGGTGGCTGGACGGAGCGGTTCACACTACACGTCCATGCAGGAGCCGGCCGCGCATGCGCCCCCGGACCCTTACTTTTTAATATATTTATAAACAATATAGGCTCTGGGATTAAAAATCCCATTTCAGTCTTTGCAGATGACACCAAGCTTTGCAGTGGAATAACGTCCTTACAAGCCGACCTCAATGCACTGTTTAATTGGGCAACTATGTGGCAAATGAGGTTTAATATTGATAAATGTAAGGTTATGTACTTGGGGGCTAAGAATATTCATGCATCATAAATACTGGGGGGGGGGGGGGGTACAACTGGGGGAATCAATGATGGAGAAGGATCTGGGGGTTCTGGTAGATCACAAGCTTAATAGTGGCATGCAATGCCAAGCTGCAGTTTCTAAAGCGAGCAAAATCCTCTCATGTATTAAAAGAGGTATAGACTCCAGAGAGAGATATCATATTACCCCTGTACAAATCATTAGTAAGACCTCATCTGGAATATGTAGGTCAGTTTTGGGCACCAATTCACAAAAAGAACATTGGGGAACTGGAGAAAGTACAGAGAAGGGCAACTAAACTGATAAGAGTCATGGAGGAGCTCAGCTATGAGGAAAGATTAGAGGAACTGAATTTATTCTCTCTTGAGAAGAGGAGATTAAGGGGGGATATGATCAACATGTATAAATACATCAGTGGTTCATATAGTGAACTCTGTGTAGAGCTATTCACCCTGAGGTCATCACAGAGGACAAGGGGGCACTCTTTACGTCTGGAGGAAAAGAAATTTAATCTCCAAACACGGAAAGGTTTCTTCACAGTGAGAGCTGTGAAAATGTGGAATAGACTCCCTCAAGATTTGGTTCTGGCCAGCTCAGTGGATTGCTTTAAAAAAGGCCTGGATTGTTTCTTAGATACACACAATATAACTGGATACTAAAATTTATAGATTAAAGTTGATCCGGGGAATATCCGATTGCCTCTCGGGGGATCAGGAAGGAATTTTTTCCCCTGCAGGAGCAAATTGTATCATGCTTTGCTGTTGTTTTTTTTTGCCTACTTCTGGATCAACTGTGGGTGTAGGATTATTACTTTTTTTTTTTTTAATGGTTGGACTGGATGGACTTTTTTTTAGCCAGACTATGTAACCCCAGGCTTGTTTTATTTGTTTTTTGACAGAGCGGAAAAGGAACTTTTGTGGACACGCCTCTTTTGAGATTGCCCCTAAGCCCTGTGAGGACAGGAACTGATGAGAAATCTCTCAATTGGGGACAGCAGAGAGATAGTGTTAGAACTTCTGACAATGGTTTTGCTACTATTTGTGTCTTCTAGGCATCGCATGGACAGGAATGAGGAGAAATGTCACCAATGGGTCACAGAAAAAGAAACCTGTCAAAATCCTATCTTCTGTCATCTATTATGTAAAAAAATGGAAATAGCTGTAAAACAAATGTTTATCTCTTCTGAAGGAAATCCAAGCCATGCCCCTTCACTGCTGCGCTTCACCCAAACTACAGATTGAGGAGCATGTGCTGTGCAAGTGGATTAGAGCTTATGCACTGGAACTACATGACCCAAGGTTGCTTGTGCACCTGTCATGATGCACATGCATGCCCTAATCTGAACACCTGAGTACAGAGATGTGTTAGGACTAAATGTCCCAGTATTCATTGTGCACCAGCCACAAGTTGCATGTACACCCCAAGGATGATACATGAACACAACAGAGCTGCACAAACATAAAGAGCAGGCTGGGAGAGCACACATCAGGGAGGCTACAATTCGCCTGCAAGGAGACCCTGCAACGCAAAATAGCCACCTTATAGGCAGAAATGAATTACACTGAATATGCAAAATCTTATTATGCTGCACACAAATAGGGAACTTAAAAACAAGAATTAAGTCAAGTATGTTTCTACATTTTTTTCTCTCCATGGAGGATTTAATTTTAGTAATAATAAAAAATATTTTATACATAATTACCACTAGATATATACAGTATAGTCTAAAATAACAAAAAAAAAACCCAGCAAGTTACAATGAAAAACATTATAAACATCTGAAAAGATTAGATTTCATAACTTCACAAAAATGCAAATGATATGCAAATTTCACCTAACAACCCAATAGTGAGCTGAGGCTTCCGCACTATAAAAGTAAAAAATGATGGTCTTGGATGAATACAAACATGCCTCTAATGTATAAAATGATCACAATACCAGGATATACAGTACACTACAGTGTCCAACATGAGTGATCATTAATAATGTTAGTCCAGGATGCAGAGCTCTCTATAAGGTATAGTGGAAATAACTTGAACCAATAAACACAGATTGCAACTAGCATGGCAAAAGCTCATTGTGACATGGAATATACAGTCAGGTCCATAAATATTGGGACATCAACACAATTCTAACATTTTTGGCTCTATACACCGCCACAATGGATTTGAAATGAAACGAACAAGATGTGCTTTAACTGCAGACTGTCAGCTTTAATTTCAGGGTATTTACCTCCAAATCAGGTGAACAGTGTAGGAATTACAACAGTTTGCATATGTGCCTCCCACTTGTTAAGGAACCAAAAGTAATGGGACAGAATAATAATCATAAATCAAACTTTCACTTTTTAATACTTGGTTGCAAATCCATTGCAGTCAATTACAGCCTGAAGTCTGGAACGCATAGACATCACCAGATGCTGGGTTTCATCCCTGGTGATGCTCTGCCAGGCCTCTACTGCAACTGTCTTCAGTTCCTGCTTGTTCTTGGGGCATTTTCCCTTCAGTTTTGTCTTCAGCAAGTGAAATGCATGCTCAATCGGATTCAGGTCAGGTGATTGACTTGGCCATTGCATAGCATTCCACTTCTTTCCCTTAAAAAACTCTTTGGTTGCTTTTGCAGTATGCTTTGGGTCATTGTCCATCTGCACTGTGAAGCGGCGTCCAATGAGTTGTGAAGCATTTGGCTGAGTATGAGCAGATAATATTGCCCAAAACACTTCAGAATTCATCCTGCTGCTTTTGTCAGCAGTCACATCATCAATAAATACAAGAGAACCAGTTCCATTAGCAGCCATACATGCCCACGCCATGACACTACCACCACCATGCTTCACTGATGAGGTGGTATGCTTAGGATCATGAGCAGTTCCTTTCCTTCTCCATACTCTTCTCTTCCCATCACTCTGGTACAAGTTGATCTTGGTCTCATCTGTCCATAGGATGTTGTTCCAGAACTGTGAAGGCTTTTTAGATGTCGTTCGGCAAACTCTAATCTGGCCTTCCTGTTTTTGAGGCTCACCAATGGTTTACATCTTGTGGTGAACCCTCTGTATTCACTCTGGTTAAGTCTTCTCTTGATTGTTGACTTTGACACACATACACCTACCTCCTGGAGAGTGTTCTTGATCTGGCCAACTGTTGTGAAGGGTGTTTTCTTCACCAGGGAAAGAATTCTTCAGTCATCCACCACAGTTGTTTTCCGTGGTCTCTGATTCTTTTGGTGTTCCTGAGCTCACCAGTGTGTTCCTTCTTTTTAAGAATGTTCCAAACAGTTGTTTTTGCCACGCCTAATGTTTTTGCTATCTCTCTGATGGGTTTGTTTTGTTTTTTCAGCCTAATGATGGCTTGCTTCACTGATAGTGACAGCTCTTTGGATCTCATCTTGAGAGTTGACAGCAACAGATTCCAAATGCAAATAGCACACTTGAAATGAACTCTGGACCTTTTATCTGCTCATTGTAATTGGGATAATGAAGGAATAACACACACCTGGCCATGGAACAGCTGAGAAGCCAATTGTCCCATTACTTTTGGCCCCCTAACAAGTGGGAGGCACATATGAAAACTGTTGTAATTCCTACACCGTTCACCTGATTTGGATGTAAATACCCTCAAATTAAAGCCGACAGTCTGCAGTTAAAGCACATCTTGTTTGTTTCATTTCAAATCCATTGTGGTGGTGTATAGGGCCACAAATGTTAGAATTGTGTCGATGTCCCAATATTTATGGACCTGACTGTACATAACAGCAGCCTGTTAGCCATTAGATCAGCCGTATGTAATCAACATGGTTACCAGGATTACATACCTTTCCAAAAAGAAATGCTAGGTAGGCCACCAGCTTGGCTTCAATCCAGTTACTGACACCACATTTCTCTTCTGTCTCCGGAGCTGGAATCTAGAAGAACAAAAGAATTTAGGGTGGAGCCTAGCTGGTGACGTCACGCCGCTCCGCACCTCGTGGAGGCCGGCGGCCATCTTTGTTTCTGGGATACCCTGCGAGTTGTTTTCATGATACTCCAATAAAGAATTTTTGAACCTACTACACTATTAGTGCTTTTTTGGGGTGGGCTGTTTGGTCGAGCACCCCCCTTTTCTCAAGGTGGATATCCTGTATGAGTGCCCTGGTTTGAGGAGTCTGGATTAGGTTTATACCAAGTATTGCTGGATGTCTGGAGTTCCCTTGCTGGTTAGAGGAAGGTGCATCCCTACCAGAGTGACACCTGCCAGATGACCCGCACTGCTTCAGCCGTCTAGTACCAGGAGTGGTCTGACACCTCAAATGCGCACATTATGTGCTTTCTGGTGAGTGCATAATTTTTTACACATCTTTGAGCACGGAGTCGACCACCTTTGCACCTCCTTATTGGGACAATTGAACCATCATCTGAGGACGTTTTTTTTAAATCACTTTAAGCACTTTAGGCTACAATTTATTCTATTCAATTTATATCATATTTTATTAGATTTATGATTCATATATTAATTTTTTGTAGCGCTGCATATGTTATTATCAAAAGAATACTACCATGCCTATATTCTTAAATATAACAAAAGTTTTTTTTTTTCTTTAATCTTTCTCCTAATCCACACATACACAGGGGTGACTAACTTATGTAACAGTCAGACTATCAACAAAATTTGATATAGGATTTCCATATATAACCTTGATCTACAGGAGACAGTATTTTTTTCAGCAAATAAAATGCTACCCCCACTGTGAGAAAGGCAGGAACAATTTCAATGTACATTATAAAATGAACAAATTGATCTTTATTTTAAACAAACCAATGTCATAAAATACTATCCTCTGTAGCAAATAATGAAAAAGCTTCTGATATATTTTATCTTGTACAAATAAATGTTCCAGGCTCTTGCTGATGTCATATGGGGGGGGGGGGGGGGGGGTGACACTGGTCACCTGCCCTCTGCTGAAACTACTTAGGGCATGCCTCTGTGAAGCCAGCCAAACAGCATCTCTGTCAGAACTGGGATTAAATTACCTTATCAGAGACCAGAACTCCAAATTTAATTAATGCGAAAGAATCAATGAAAACACCAGAATAATGCAGGCCATAGACGGGCCATTGATCGGCTGATAAACGAAAAAAACGGTCGGCCCCGTTGCCAATGTTGCCACCCATGTCTGTGAAAAATGGCTGTTTTTCGCAGATTTTCCAGCATGACCGATAAAAATAAATGAGGAGATCCACGAAAAAAACGGCCGACAAGCTGGCCCCACTAACGGCATGATTATCGGCCGATTTTTCATGCAATCTATGGCCTGCATAAGAGATACAACTACAGTAGAAGTCCACTTTAATGGGCAAAAGCCCATTTAAAGGAAACTTGTTTGGAAAGAAATATATAGACTGCATCTTCTGATAATTCTGAAAATGTAAGTTGCCTGGCTGTCAAACTGAATCTTTGGTTTATATTCTTTCAATGGCCTTGAAAAAGCAGACATAAATTCCACTTTTACTTCATGCATGCTAGTTCTGCCTCAATTACTCATACATTGTGAAAAGATAAAAGATCAGCATGAAAGCCTGGCAGCTACTTTTATTTATTTATTTATTTTTAAAAAAAAGCCCTTTCCTGATGTCAGGTATCCCTTAATATGTAACCACTCCAATGAAATTAAAAACCAAAATCCAGAAAAATTAAATGGCTGTTCAGTACTGAAGGTGGTAAGAAAATCTAGTTTTTATTGTTCGGTCTCTCCTTGCTGGACATATTACCAAGCTATTAAAATAACTGGATTTGGTCTACCTTTACAATCATGTGACTCCTTTTCCGTCTCCTACCCCATTCTCCCCTCTCCTATCTTTCTCCCACCTATATGAGGGAAGACCCTACTTTGTTACCCCTTTTCCTCAATGTTCCCTTTCCTGGTACATCTGCTTGGTGAAGAAAATTAATTAATACTCCACCATTAACCATGCACCCCTTTCTGTTCCTTCAGCCCTTGTTCGAAAGCACGTATCGCCCAAAGCACATAATCAAAAACACACGGCCATTACCTTCTCAAAGTATTACCTTGCATTTCCAAAATATGCAAGATGGATACCATTGTGAATCCATCTTACATGGTACTGATCCATGGAACTACCTTTTCAGCCTGTTTATTTGTGATACGGACTACTCCACTTGTACTGTAACCTGTATGTTTGACACATGCAGTACCCAACATTAGATGCACCTCTGCTTAAAAAAAAAAAAAAATGTGCCGTTTGCACAGGCTCACCTGCATACAGTATAGAAACAATACTACTGTATATTTTAAATAAAAATTCCATAACGGTAAACATTCATATTTCTCAACTGACCAGCGTACCTACCGGATGATGGAATTTAACCACAAAGAAACGTCTCTTTCATAGACCAAAACATTATAGTTTAACATTTCCAACAAAGGTCACCCTATTAGTCGTTAGCTAAACTGCAATAAAGATTAGATTAATGACTTAGTGTTGTGTGACAAGTGTACATGTACAAAGAATGTCTTTGTAACCAATGACTGTTCACGGACTAAATTAATGGACCCATTTGTAAAGCAGGGCTTGCCACCACTCCACCAATAAAATATAAAACCATGCTCCAAGACAGCTGTTTGCTTTTCACTTTGATTGCTTCAGAACTATGGAACAAGCAAAGGAAAAAAAAATAAAAAAAAACCTATTTGGAGGGGTAAAGGTTACTGGGGATACAGGTCATGTAACAGGGCTTTCCATCTACCTGGAAGTGTTTGCAGCACACTGTGCTCTGCATTTTATAAACAAAATCCTACATTGTCAACACAACAGATGCCACTCTGTTCTACTAGATTTTGAATTTGCACTTCACTTTCTACAAAGCTGCTGAGTAGAGTTAGGAAAGCTTACGTTCTCTGTATTCAGGAAGAATACAGGGTTACTGGGTTCCAGGACATCTTTGATCCAGGCACTTTCAGGTGTCTCCCTTAATTCCAGCTCCAACTTTAAAGACTTCAGCTGAGGTAGCTGGACCGTGGCTGAGGACACCCGTTCAGAAGCACACTCCAGACGTCCTTCGTATACCAACTTATTGCTCAGGGACATTATCTTGCTGAAAAGGGCACAAGAAGTCATCATTTTAATGAAACAAGCAAACACGTGCTGATTTGTTTGGCCAAAATGGTATTCTAATTCTTACCTATTCATGCGATACTGCACAGTCAGGTTGACAACTGCATCTTGGTTCCTCTCCAATCTTTTGAACAAGCTTTCACTCATTCCTAGCTCTCTGCCAAAACAGATTAAGGCCTGTTATGCAATACTGACAAGTGTAGCTGAAGAATATGGAATCTTTACATCATTGGAAACTGAAAACGCATGACCCCTAGCCCAAACATTAACCAAACAGAGGCAATCAGGTGGAAAATAATCATTTCTCATGTAATAGAATATTCTAATATTACCTGGCTTCTGTACTTTGAACAAGAGGAGGAAGTTGCTGATGATCCCCTACTAAAACAAATCTGTCAGCGAAGAACAAAGGGCCAAGGCAGATTGGCTGACTAATCTGAGACGCTTCATCCACAATACAGAAATCAAACCTCCTCCGAGTGAAGATTGGATGGTTGACTCCCATGCATGTTGTTCCTACAACAGGCTAAATAATAGCAAAAACAATGCTTTGAAAATCTCACATTTAACATACGTAGAAGTAGCAAATGTTCAAATGGACAGTACAGAGTTTCAAAAACCTCACCTTATGTACTATAAGCTGTCAAAGTGTACTTTTATAATATTCCACATACCTGGCTATTATAGAGCTCTTCTAACCCACTTAACATCTTAACCGACTTGGCTTTGAGGATTTCTTCTTCTCCGTACTTCTGAATCTCTGGATGTATCTTCTGGGTTCGTCCCAAGCGCAGAAACCCTACCTGGAATTTTTTCAGCTTCAGCAGAATATTATCTACTGCAGAGTGAGTGTAACTGGTCAGCAACACGCTAAATCCACAGGCATAGAGGATTCTTACCTGAAATAGAATATAGTTTACATTGCACTAAGGAATTTAGAACTGAAGGTTCCACTTACCAGCAGTTATTATTATTATACAGGATTTATAGCGCCAACAGTTTGCTCAGAGCTGTACATTATAACATAATGGGAGACAGTACACGAGACAGTACAGTAACAATATGATTCAATACACGAGGGGTTCGAGGGCCCTGCTCCTTGGAGCTTACAATCCAGGAGGGAGGGGATAGTGGTAAAGGAGGAAATAGCTGTGGGGGATGGAGTGGTAGGAAGAGTGGAGGAGTTCAGTAATTAGCTGAGGGCAGGGTAGGCTTCCCTGAAGAGATAGGTTTTCAGAGTGTGCCTAAAGGTGAGGAGAGTAGGTGATAGTCTGATGGATTGGGGGTAGGGAGTTCCAGAGGATGGGGGAAGCCCTGGAGAAGTCCTGGAGATGGGCATGGGAGGAGGAGACCAGGGAACTAGAGAGTAGGAGGTCTTGTGAGGAGCGGAGAGTACATTTTGGGTGGTATTTGGATACCAGATCGGTGATGTAGTTTGGGGCAGTATTATGAACAGCTTTATACGTCAATATTAGTATTTTGAATTTTATCTGTTGGGCAATCGGAAGCCAGTGGACGATTGGCAGAGAGGGGTGGCGGATACGGAGTGGTAAGTAAGGTGGATGAGTCGGGCCGCAGCATTCAAGATAAACTGAAGCGGGGATAGTAAATTTTTACTTTGAGGATATTTTTTACATTAAAAAAAAATGCATATGAATGGCAAGATAAATATAATGCAGCAACTAGAACTCATTACCATCTAAATTAACCAGTAGCAGTGCACTTCTTCCTCTACTAAATGGGAAGCATGCCATTTATGAGCACACACATTCAGCAATTGTAGTATTCACCTTAAAGTGGGGGTTATAAAGACATATGAAGACAGTATAGGTAGAAGGAGCCCTGCACCTATTAGCTTTGGGTTGTTTGTTTGAAGCACAATTTGGTGATAGCAGCTCTCAATTAGAAAATTTACGGAGCAGGGGTATGCGTGTAGGCATTTTCTGTAATTAAGTTCATTGGCAACCGGTCAGTAACATAAATGGGTATTAAAAGGGCATCTTAGAGAGTCAACATCTGAGAAGTAAAGATGGGTAGAGGTTCACCAATTTGTAAAAAGCTGCATCTAAAAATTGGTTGAACAATTTCAGCATAATGATTCTCAACTTAAAATTGCAAAGACTTTAAATATATCATGATCTACAATTCTGATCATCATCAAAAGATTCCAAGAATCTTGACAAATCTCTGTGTGCAACGGACAAGGCTATGCCAATATTCCCATTAGAGATGAGCGAATTATTCAAAAATTCGATTCGGCTGATTCGCCGAATTTGAGGAAGAAATTCGATTCGATGCAAATTAATTCGCTACGAATTTAACTTATTAAAAGGGTTTCTAGGCTTCAGAGAGCCTTTAAATTAGTGCAGAACACTGTACCTTTAATTTAAATGCCCTTGGAGATGAGGAAAGGACAAGGAGAAGGAGAAGGATGAGAAGAAGGAGAAGGATGAGAAGAAGGAGAAGGATGAGAAGAAGGAGAAGGATGAGAAGAAGGAGAAGGACGAGAAGAAGAAGAAGGAGAAGGACGAGAAGAAGGAGAAGGAGAAGGACGAGAAGAAGGAGAAGGAGAAGACGAGAAAGAAGAGGAGAAGGAGAAGGACGAGAAGAAGGAGAAGGAGAAGGACGAGAAGAAGGAGAAGGAGAAGGACGAGAAGAAGGAGAAGGAGAAGGACGAGAAGAAGGAGAAGGAGAAGACGAGGAGAAGGACGAGAAGAAGGAGAAGGACGAGAAGAAGGAGAAGGACGAGAAGAAGGAGAAGGACGAGAAGAAGGAGAAGGACGAGAAGAAGGAGAAGGATGAGAAGAAGGAGAAGGATGAGAAGAAGGAGAAGGATGAGAAGAAGGAGAAGGAGAAGGATAGAAGAAGGAGAAGGAGAAAGGAGAAGGAGAGGAAGAAAGGAGAAGGAGAAGGATGAGAAGAAGGAGAAGGAGAAGGATGAGAAGAAGGAGAAGGATGAGAAGAAGGAGAAGGAGAAGGATGAGAAAGAAGGAGAAGGATGAGAAGAAGGAGAAGGATGAGAAGAAGGAGAAGGAAACAAATAGATACAAAGTTTCAAACCGCTGTATGGAGGGAATGTCACAGAACTGTCAGAAATAGCGGAGCTCTGCAGATACAGTTAGCGGAGCTCTGCAGATAGAACAGCTGTTTGAAACATAGGCTATGTTTCAACCGCTGTATGGAGTGAATGTCACAGAAACTGTCAGAAATAGGCTATTTCTGACAGTTTCTGTGACATTCCCTCCATACAGCGGTTGAAACATTTGTATCTATTTGTTTCCATAAATGGAAAAATAGATACAATGTTTCAACCGCTGTATGGAGGGAATGTCACAAGAACTGTCAGAAATAGCGGAGCTCTGCAGATACACTTAGCGGAGCTCTGCAGATACACTTTTTTGCCGGCTTGGAATTCTTCTTATTTTCATCCTACTTCTTCTTTCTTCTTCATCCTCATCCTCGATATCTTCTTCTGAGGATGAGGATGAAGAAGAAGAAGAAGTAGGATGAAAAATAAGAAGAATTCCAAGCCGGCAAAAAGTGTATCTGCAGAGCTCCTCTATTCTGCAGATACACTTAGAGGAGCTCTGCAGATACACTTTTTGCCGGCTTGGAATTCTTCTACATTTTCATCCTACTTCTTCTTCTTCTTCTTCTTCATCCTCTTCTTCTTCTGAAGAAGAAGAAGAAGTAGGATGAAAATAACAAGCCTAGAAAAGTGTAAGAGCTCCTCTATTCTGCAATACACTTAGAGGAGCTCATGCAGATACACTTTTTGGATGAAAATAAGAAGAATTCCAAGCCTGAAGCAAAGAAGAAGTAGGATAAAATAAGAATAATTCTGGCAAGAGTATCTGCAGAGCTCCTCTAAGTGTATCTGCAGAATAGAGGAGCTCTGCAGATACACTTTTTGCCGGCTTGGAATTCTTCTTATTTTCATCCTACTTCTTCATCCTCATCCTCAGAAGAAGAAGAGGATGAGGATGAAGAGGAAGAAGAAAAAGAAGAAGAAGAAGAAGAAGTAGGATGAAAATGAGAAGAATTTCCAAGCCGGCAAAAAGTGTATCTGCAGAGCTCCTCTATTCTGCAGATAACACTTAGAGGAGCTCTGCAGATACACTTTTTTGCCGGCTTGGAATTCTTCTTATTTTCATCCTTCTTCTTCTTCTTCTCCTCTTCATCCTCATCTTCTTCTTCTGAGGAAGAGGATGAAGAAGAAGAAGTAGGATGAAAATAAGAAGAATTCCAAGCCGGCAAAAAGTGTATCTGCAGAGCTCCTCTATTCTGCAGATACACTTAGAGGAGCTCTGCAGATACACTTTTTGCCGGCTTGGAATTCTTCTTATTTTCATCCTACGGATTCGACGCGAATCGAATTTTTCCTGAAATTCGAATCGAATTCCACTTCGCCTGGTTCGATTCGCTCATCTCTAATTCCCATCTCACACGTTCCTGGATATGGGCTCGTCATTAGCGGGTGATCACCAACTGTTAACTGGAGTTTTGCCAGCACACCATGGATCATCAAATGTAGTTCAAAACATTTATTGCAAAAAGATCACATCACAAAGGATCAAGTAACATTTTGGAGCCACACTGGACCCCTTCATCAATCATGTGATGAATCAAGAGTCCTGTGAGGCTCCAAAATGTTGCACTTGTTCCTTTGTGATGTGATCTTTCTGCATTAAAGTTTTGGATGACATCTGGTGATCCATGGTGTGCTGGCGAATATGTGCATTGACAAGGCTGAAACACAATACTGGATACCCAGGCCCTCAGACATCACTACATTAAAAACAGAAATGATTCTGTGAGAGTCATCTCTGCATGAGCTCAGGAATATTTTCAAACAATCACTGTCTGTGAACATAGTTCTCTGTGCCATCCAAAAATGCAAGATAAAGCTCCATCATGCACAGAAGCCATATCTGAACATGATCCAGAAACACCGCTGTCTTCTCTGGGTCAAAGCTCATTTAAAATGGTCTGATGCCAAGTTGAAAACTGTTCTGTGGTCAGACAAATTGATATTTGACATTCTTTTTGGCAACAACGGGCACCGTATTCCCCGGACTAGAGAGGAGAGGGACCTTCTGGCTTGTAATCAGCGGTAAGTTCAGAAGTCTGTATCTCTGATGGTGCATTAGGAAGGAAGGTGCATTAGAGTGTTGGCATTTGTTAGGTTTCACATCTGCAAAGGCACCATTAATGCTGAAAGATATATCCAGGTCAAAGCAGCATATGGTCAGGCTAGAATGGGACAACATTACTCTCCCAAAAATCCAACAACTGGTCTCCTCAGTTCCCAGATATTTACAGAGTGTTGTTAAAAGAAGAGGGAATGCTACACCGTGGCTCTGTTCCAACTTTTCTGGAACCGGGGTTGTACTTTTTTGAGATGTGTTGCTTACATCAATTTCAATATTACTTCTATTTTTTTTCTTAAAAATTGTACATTTTCTCAGTTTGACCACTTTATCACGCAATAGCCAAATGACGGCTACAGCACGGTCGTCCAGCTCTGGTTCTCCAAGAACACAACTGATCACATGACATGGTAAAAGGCCAGTCACAGCGATAATCAACTGTATAAAATCACAGCTGATCACCATGTAAAAACAATAGGCCTGGGCAGGAAGTAGACAAGTGGTTAAACATTTGAAGTTTTCTATCGTGAATAAAATATCGGTTTATGAAATTTGAAAATATTTTCATGTAGATTTTCCCCACCGTCCCAACTTTTTTTTGGAATTGGAGTTGTAGAACAATTCCGTTGTTTTATTAATTATATCAGCCAAAAAGGAAGCTCTTTGGCTCAATTGAACCTCAAAGCCTCTGCTTATTAGGAAAGCACAGTGGTTTTGTACATATATTTTCCATTGTTTATTATTGATAAAACATTTTATGCAGTTCACCTTATGGTAGGCCAGCATTTTTTTGCATCTTACCAGAGTACAGATGGTTGTAGTTTTCCCTGTGCCGGGCATGCCAACAATAAGTGTATAGTCTTTTGACAGCAGGACTCGTTTCATCGCTTGCTTTTGCGGCTTGTTAAGGCCTAGAATAGATACAGTTTACACAGTTAAATGACTAACTGTGCTACTCTTACCTTGGGCAAGAATACATGTTTTTTTTTACAGCACATACAAATCAAAGAAATACTATACAACTTTTACAAGCAGAGTTCTCAAAACGCATAGCTTGCAGTTGGTTGAACTACAACGGATATTTTAGTAGTTAAAAGAAGGGAGTTTAACCATCTAATGATTTCTCATGTCTCTGAGTAACTCCTGTGGGGAGGTATGTGGCAGGGAGATTTGTGGCAGCACCCCAACAGGGTGAGAATATTGAAGGCTTCAAGATGAGTGGGAACAGTCAGGGTCATGAGATCTAAACCAGAGTCTCCAAGGAGCCAATGGATGGAGTAAAACTACCAGATTCTACATATAATCCAATAATACTTATGAATGGAATGACCCTTTAGGGATTTAACTTGGGCTTAGATTTGAATATGAAGTGGTGAAATGTCTTAATTGTATTTGGAAGCTGCCAAAAATCTCTGATTGCTTTAATTTTATAGTATACTCCAAAATATAAATCCTTACCCTTTAAAATGTTGGCTACAGTGTCTTTGGCATCATGAGGCAGAACTGAGCTTAGAAACTGAACAAAGTGAGGCTTTCTAAAGTCAATTATCAAATCTCGAAGTTTCTCACTGCAGGACAAGAAAAACAAATACATTTTTTACTTTTATTGACACGTTTAAGAGAAGACTTTAAGACCAGCATATTAATGACACATTCACAGTTATTCAAGATAGTAAATAGCATTCACAATGCCCACACATGCAAAGCTTCGCAGAGAAGCGATGTGATAGAACTGGTTGTGGTACTCTCTTCCCTACCAGCCCCTCCTCCCCATCCCAAGTGCTTGTAAATTACATCACATGGGATGAAGGAGAGAGTAGGAGAGGCAGGAATGGGAGTCCCCACAACCACTTTCCTGCATTGCTCTGCATATGAAGGAAACCACTACGGTAAAGTGCCCTGTTGTGTCCCCAATAATCTGCCTTACTCCCATGTGATATGCCAAGCTGTGTGCCCTGCTGACCCCCCCAAATGTAGTGCGTCTTTCTGACCCCGTGCTCTGCCCTGTTGACCCCTTTACACTGCTTATCTTACATTCTACCCAGAATGGAACATCTGTACAAAAAAAAAAAAAAAAAAGCACAAGTTTCATATGGTTAAATAGCTAAGTTTTATTTGCTATATACTGTAATGCCAAATAATGGTTATATCAACAGCTCATTGATCACATCTACAGCTCACAGAACATTGGTGTTGTTATTTCAGGGGTTCCCAGAGATTTCACACTTTTGCCAATGGTTCTTCCAAGGTAAAAAGGCTGAGAAACCCTGACCTGAAACCAAACAGAACATATCACTATGGTGGAATCCTGCTGTCTTGAAAGACTCCAGGAAATAGTAACCAGTAAGTCTAATTAGATTTCCCAAATCATCTTCCAGGACAGAGGATTAACAAAAACTGAATAGTTTAGGGAGGAAAATAAGCAGGGTGGATCGTGAGTACTACAGATATCGTGAATCCAGTTATATGAACCCCTCAGAGTTCCAATTCCAAAAAAGTTGGGTCACTATGTAAAATCTATATAAAACAGAATGCAATGATTTGCAAATCTCATAAACCCACATTCTATTCCCAGTAAAAATGAAAATCTATAAAAAAAAATTTTAAAAAACTGAGAAAATGTACCATTTTAAAAAGTAAAATAGGCAACTTTAAAATTGATGGCACCAACACAACCTCAAAAAAGTTAGAACAGGGCAACAAAAAGCTGGCAAAGTAAGTGGTACTAACAAGAAGAGCGAACATCATTTTGCAATTGATTAGGTTAATTCGCAACAGGTCAATAACATGACTCGATACAAAAATGGCATCTTAGAGTGTCTCAGAAGTAGAGATGGGCAGAGGGTCACCAATCTGTAAAAAGCTGCATTTAAAAATTTGCAATTTTATGTAGAGGAACATTGTTCTGAAATTGTTGACAAAGACTTTAAATAGATCATCATTTACATTACATAATATCAAAAGATTCAGAGAATCTGAAGAAATCTCTGTGCTCAAGGGACAAGGCCGAAAACGCCTTGCTGTTGCACAGCATTCTCTCAGACATGTTAGCAAGCAAAAGCCCCAAACAGGCTTCTAATCCATCCCATTACTGTAACCAATCCATCCCTTCAGTATTGTAGTTTAAATAACTAAATACGCCACAAACCTTCCAGGAGAATTTTCCATAAGCTTTGATAAGTTTCCTAGATGGGCATCCAGACCACCACCTCCTTCCTCATGATCAAGTCTAAATATAGTATCTTGAGGAATCTTGGCTAGGCTCCTGTAGGAGATGATTTGCAACATTTTAGGGAGAGCAACTTCTCTTATTCACAAGCTTTCAGAAAGTTATAATTGAATAAATCATTAGACAAACCTGTCCAAAATGCAGGTTATATTATTCTCATCAACATCTCCGATAAATCCAGTAGAGAGTGCAAGGAATTTTTTATCTTCTCCACTTACAACAACTCTATCCCCTGTCACCAGATTGGTAGCTGGAATGTTACTGGACTGACGATGGAAAATATGAAGATACTGTCCTTCGGCCAAGGGCTGCACACTTCCTGTCCGAATGAGGTTCCCGATACATTGCCCATTGTCTTCTCTAAATACAAAAGAAATATACAAAGAATAGTTAAAGTAGACAGACATGCACAATACTTCAAGAGCAATATTATATATAGATTATAGTAGCAATTAAACACTATGTAAACAAAACCGAGAGATTATAGTTACTGATGCAGTAAAGAAAAAAAAAAGTTCTGCCTAAAATTTTTAGGATGCGACTTCATATTCAATGGAGGAGACTGGCATCTCCTGCCTTGGACAGGACCTATGTAAAGCCCATAGGATTTTTGTATGGTACTGTATGTATAATAAATTAAAAAGGCTAGTGGTCTTATTTAACCACTTCAAGTCTGGACACTTTTACCCCCTTCCTGCCCAGGCCAATTTTCAGCTTTCAGTGCCATCACACTTTGAATGACAATTGCACAGTCATGCAACACTGTACCCTTATGAATTATTTAGCATTTTTTTGAGACAGATAAAACTTTATTTTGGTGGTATTTATTCACCACTGGGATTTTTATTGCTATACAAATGAAAAAGTCCAAAAATTTTGAAAAAAAAAAAAAAAGTGTTTTTCTAATAAAATCAAATAATCTTTCTTCATAAATCTTGGCCAAAATGTATTCAATTATCTTTTTAGTAAAAAAAAAAAAAAAAAAAAAAAAAAAATTAACCCAAATTAGTTTATAACCAAAAATTATAATTTTGAAAAATTATTTTTTACATTTTTATTTTATTTTCTTATATTATTTTTTTTTAACATACGGTCACCCTAGCAGTACAGTGTCACCATAGTGACACTGTACTACTTGTGGGGGGGTGATGAAGTTTTTTTTTTTTAACACTGATTGCTTTTACACCCATAAAGGCTGTAAAAGCAATAATTTCTATTTCTTTCTGACTGCATTCTTGCAGCCATTGAGAAATACTGTCTGCACTGTGATTAGTCACAGCTTGTCACATGGTACAAGGCTGTTGTAAATTGCCTTGTACCATGTGATCTCTGTGATCATTCACAGATTTCACTAGTAGTAAGCAATGATGTCAGAAGTGACATCTTACTACTATTCATGTGATCACCGATTGGTCAATCAGTGATCACATGATCGGGACCACAAACAGAGGACCCGAACAGCGAGGACACAGCGGGCACCAGATCGTGGTGCCGCGCGCTCCCAGGGAGCACACACAGGATAAAATGGCGGGCGCCTTTTTGTGAACGGCAACCCGCTCCTGCACTGCTCCCGTCCAGCCCATGTATATAAAACGGTTAATGTGATCATTGTGGCATAAAGAAAAAGACAAATAATCCATGTAGTGAGATAAAATGATTGCCAAACTATTATTTGAATAGAAGTGGTTCGTACGCCTGAAGATTTTGTACCTTCCTGCAGGACTTGACAAAATTTGCTTTGAATCTAGAAGCCAGCTAAAAAAAAAACCAAAAAAAAAAAAAAAACTTTTTTTTTGGGCGATATAATTTGTCGTGCGTCAATCATGGCAAAACCGCACCCCATGCTCTTTTGCTTTTGCTCTCTCATTCTCCCCTTCTCCCGATCACAAAATGCAGGTTCAGGTGCCATTGCAAAAAAAAAAAAAAAGCGCAACAGAGAAAGAAAGCGCACAAAAAAAAAAAGAAGAAAGAAAGTGGTTTGCTACAAGGGCACTCGGCAGGAGAGAAGGGCCGGAAGGACCAGTGGGACACCTGAGAAGAGGAGGATCAGGGCTGCTAAGAGCAAATAAGTAGGGCATACTGTTTATTTTTTAAAAATATACAAAGCTTTAAGATCACTTTAAAGTAAAATTACATCTAGCTTTATGACAAATCTGCAACATTGACCAGCCAAAAACAAATACAAAATAAGAAATCTTGTTACCTCTCAGCTGCTGACAGCATCCAGATATTTTTGCGACCATTTTTTGATTCCTTTGACTGGACTTCCAGACAGCACATGAGGTACCAGAGACTGAAATACTGCAAGTGGGAGTCTTTGAGATGTTCAGTCTGATTCTCAATTACAGAGAGCATTTCACTGGGCACGTAGTAGGATTCACTCTGCTGCTCTACAGACCTAACATAAAATATAACTAGCATTAATATTTAACAGTAGGCCTTGGGTAAAAAAAATTATATATACATATTTATATTGTTCAGCATAACAGATGTCAGAAAACCTTTACTTTCCTTTCAGAATCAACATTTTCTATGGGACACTATACTACAAAATATTCCCACAAATGTGCTCGCTCGCCCCCCTCTTTCCTGCTGGGCTGCATGCTCGGATAAGGGTCTGAATTGGATTTTGGGGGGGACCGCACGTCATTTTTTTACATTTTGGCTTGAGGGTTCCCCTCAAAATCCAAACTAGACCCAAAGGGCTTGGTATGGATGGAGGGGGGGGGGGGGGCAGATACCCCACGTCATTTTTTAAATTTAAGTGTGGGCAATGTTTTTTTTTTTTTTTTTTTTTTTTTACATTCAGCTATTAGTGGGGAACCCCACTGACAGCTGATGACTCATTGTTAGGGATACGGTGACCACCCATTCCTTAACAACCCATGACAGTACTGACAGAGACCAGTACATACTGCAAGCCTGGACCACTACTTACCGCATGCATTTAATTATTTATTTCCTATTGTGAATTGACTTTAATCACTTCCCCTCCTGAGGATTTACCCCTCCTTCCTGACCAGGCCATTTTTTACATTACTGCACTGCGTTACTATAACTGACAATTGCGCGGTCATGTAATGCTGCACCCAAATGAAATATACGTCCTTTTTTCCCCACAAATTGAGCTCTCTCAATTTGACAGCCTATGCGTTTTTTTTTTTTTTTTTTTTTTCGCCCTAGAGAAAAAAAAATTAATTGAGGAAAAAAACAAAAACAATATTTTGGACTCTTTGCTATTAAACAAGTCCAGTAAAAAAAAAAAAATATAAAAAAAAAAATCAAATTTCGTCAAACTTAGGTCAAAATGTATTCTGCGACATGACTTTGCTGAAAAAAAAAAATCCCAATATGTGTAAATTAATTGGTTTACGTGAAAGTTATAGCGTTTACAAATGGTAGTATAGATACTGGGATTTTTTTTTCTACTACTAATGGCGGCGATCAGCGACTTAGCAGGACTGCAGCGGACATTGTGACATGGGGGGGGGGGGGGGGTACTAACTTGGTGTCACTGAAATATATAGTGAATTGACATATTTAGTATCGCATGCAATATGTGGTCATGTGACTGACTTAACTCATGCGATAAGCTTTAGTGAATTGTGCTCCAAAAGGCCATCTAGTTCAACCATAACAAGAAAAAAAAAAAATGTATAAATCCCCACAGTTGATCCAGAGGAAGACAAAAAACCATGCAAAGCATGATCCTCATTTATGCTGAGCACTGTGCTTAACAACTTAACAAAAACTGAAGGTAAAGGCAGGAAAATAAATTAAGTATTTTAAAAGCTTATGTGTGAACTTGTTTGCAAATGTGAATGGCAGAAACAGTCAGTCAATTCCATAGCACAGCCACCTACTTCTTTGTATTCATAGCCCTCGCCTCTTCTGGGAGTGTCTAATGTCTTTGATATAGTGAGCAGAGGATGTGGACTATCAAACTTTTATACAGCAGCAGGGGGGAGGAGTGAAAGGGAATAGTATAGTATCCAGCAACAGTCTCAGGGCTTTGGGATGTCTACACAAGGGAGGTTTTTACAGGTAAATAGGTCTAAAATGCCTTAAAATCACAAACTCCTATGGAAAGATTGTTGTTAAAATAAATGGTCTGACAACAGGACCTTTTTAAATTATTTTTCAAGGTCGAAGATAGATTCATCACAGTTATACGTTTGGGACTTTGTGCTATATGATGAATATTGTTCATTTACGATCACATGTATTTATATTTGGTTATTTGTTTCACTTTTATCACCTATCACCTATATTTAGTCACATTCTTGATGGCATGTTTTTGGGCTACACATTAGGTGCACCACTGTACACATATATATTTATTCATATAATATTGAATCCTTTAATACGTTTTTATGTCTATTATCACATGGTATTACCGCTACACCACCTAATCTACTTATGGCTTCCTGTCATGCCATCCATTGTACACAATTGTGTTGTTGGCTGTGACTGGTCAAAGCAGTTACATAGAAGCTGCAAATTGGTTCCTCAGCATTAAACACCTTATACAACCAGTCCACTTTGACACCATTGATGTGGTCTATTAAAGGCTAAAAGGAAAGAAACAAAGAACAGGATTGAATAGAGACCAGACCAAAACTGCAATATTCCTTGGACTGAAAGTAGTAAGTAGTGTCTAAATTAATGAACATACAGTTTTATATCCATGTTTATAAGGATTCTCAGTTTGTCAAGTAAAAAGGAAAAACAGGCACCTGCTGTAAAGGGCACAATTTCTGAGCTGTGAGCAAAATTTGCAGGCTTGCTTGTCAGCAATCATTGTTGGTAGTGCAGACAGTTTGATTTCTTTACTTCCATTACTGGATTTATGCACTACATTTGACAAATAGAAGGACAACCCATTCCGTATTTTAAGTAATTCTGGAAAAAAAATACTTTATTTAGTACAAGACAAATAAAAGTAGGTTCTTTTCTAAGGCATATTAAATACTAGGTTGAAACATATTCAACATTCAACCAAAACTAAAATTGCAAAATTGGGCTAGAGCACCAAGTTCGGGACTTCGTGAGATCACCACAGAATATTTTTTTTTACTTTCAGCTCAAAGTAGCGCTCTGGCGATCCAGAAATTTGGCTCCACTCCTCTCCTTCCCCCACAGCCTCTTGAAACAAGTCAAATGTCCCAGGAGACTGCGGGACCATTTGCAGGGCACAGCACAGCTGGCGTATGCGCAGTGGGTAGCTGGAAGTGAAGTCGCAAGGAGTCACAATTGGCTGCCCACTGTTAAGATGTAGGAGCCTGGACCCAAAGACCAGCAAAGGACCAGGTTGGGTGAGGACATTTATGGATCCTGGGACAGGTAAGTGTATAAGGGTGAAGATCCACTTTAAAGTCCGCTGTCACCAACAAAAGGAATGCTGAAAATGCCAAACCATCTATTAGTAATTGTCCTTCTGATCACAAGAATCCATAATATCTCAAGGAATGTTTATAAATGCACTTTAAAAAAAGTTATACATGGAGGAGCCCCCTCTCTATCAGTTTTGATTAAATAAAATTAAAATAAAGTACTAAATAAAGTGTGGCAAAAAGAAAATTTAACTCATTTCTTCTTGCCTTTCATGTCTTCTTTACTGGACTTTTTCTGCAGAATTAATTTCTGAGTTGTTAGCTTCTCACAAAGCTCAAATATCTCCTGTAATGATTACAGTAATGGCCAAAAATATTAGCACACCTGCATTTGTCAGATAATGCACCACTTCGCCCAAAACATTGTTGCAATTACAAATGCTTAGGCATTCTCAGGTTTATTTCTATTGTTTGTATTGGTATGATAAATTCCATGCAAAAGCCCAAAAATGGACTGGACAAAATTATTGGCACCCTCATTTTTATATTTGGTAGCACACCCCTTGGAAAAAATAACTGAAATCAAATCACTTCCTGTAACCATCAATTTGTTTCTTACATCTCTCTACTGGAACTTTGGACTACTCTTCTTTCGCCAACCGCTCCAGGTCTCTCAGACTGGAACGGTTCCTTTCCCAACTGCTGTTTTGAAATCTCTTTACAGGTGCTCTATGGGACTGAGATCTGGATTGCTGCCCAATTCAGTACTTTCCTGCGCTTTGTCTGAAACCTATTCTGGGTGCTTTTTAACGTGTGCTTTGGGTCATTGTCCTGCTGGAAGACCCATGGCCTCGGATGGAGACCCAACTTTCTGACACTGGGCCCTACATTGCACCCCAGAATTCTTTAATAGTCTTCAGATTTCATAATGCCATGCACACGGTTAAGACATCCAGTGCCTGAAGCAGCAAAGCAACCCCAAAACATCAGTGAACCTCCACCATGTTTGACTTTAGGGACTGTACTCTTTTCTGTAAAGGTTTAATTCTTTTTTGGATAACAGAAGAATGATGAGCTTTACCAAAAAGCTGTAATTTTGATTCATCTGTCCACAGCACATTCTCCCAAAAGGATTTTGGCTTCCTCAGGTAGGTTTTGGTAAACTCAATCTGGTTTTTTATGTTTCTGTGTCAGCAGTGGGGTCCTCCTACCATAGCATCCCTTTTCATTCAGATAGCCACAAGTAGTGCAAGCTGACACAGTTGTACCCTGTGCCTGAAGGTCAGCTTGAATTTGTCTGAAAGTTGATCAATGATGTGCACAGTGGACACAGGAACATTAAGATCACTGGAGATGGACTTTGGATTGCCTTGAGATTGCCATTGAGATGTAACCTTAAGATTGCCCATGCTTTTCCACAATTTTTGTTCTCAAATCTTCAGACAATTCTTTGCTGCTCTTTCTCCATGCTCCATGTGGCACACAGACACAACAGAAAGGTTGAGTCATTTTTTCACCATTTTAACTGGTTGCTGGTATGATTTCTATATTGTCAACACCTGTTAATTGATACAGTGGCGTTTAATTACACATTACAGGAGCATCACAAACTTGGAATGCAATTATTTCTTACAATTTTTAGAAGGTACCAATAATTTTGTCCAGTCCATTTTTGGAGTTTTGCATGGAATCTGTCAGATTTGGCTTTGTTTCTCCACCTTTTTGTGTCATACCAATGCAATCAAAAGAAATAAACATGAGAATGCCTAAACTTTTGTAATTGCAACAATTTTTTGGCCAAAGTGGTGCATTCACTGACAGAAATGCAGGGGTACCAATATTTTTGGATACGACAGTAGGCTGTCAGTCTAAAGGGAAACACTCATACCAGTTGCATATAGCTTGTAGCACACAACTAATATGATTGGGGCACTTGCTTGTTGTAATCTACTGATCCTGACGGTAATCAAGCTTGCATTATTCCCCTCTTGTGATTTACAGATTTATACTTCCTGAAACTTTTGTCTATTCAAGTCGCCTGTAAGATGATAGTTATCCCAGTGGGAGGAAAAGTATTTGTTTTTATTCTAAAGCTTCACTAAAAAAAAAAAAAAAAAAAAAAAAATGAAATATATCAAAAGGTATACCTTCAAATACTGGGGAGTCTCCCATTCATAATACATTTATGTCACACACACCTCTTTTATCTAGATGATTTGCAGGCACAGTGTACATGTTTCCAGTCTTCAGATATAGGAGTAGACCAGACTCTGGATCATCTCTCCTTTCCTGACTTAACAAAGTGTACAAAATAACCTGACACAAAAATTGAGAAAGACCAAATGAATGACAGTATCAACACCACTTATTTGATGATCACAAGCACACTGTAAGCCAATTTAGTTAAACTTTAAATATTTGAACGTCTGATGTAAAAAGAGTAATTTAAAAAAATGGTAACCACAATTTTAATAAATTACATGGCTTTATAAATTGAGCAGCATCACAGGAGCATTATCAGGACTTTGAAACCCACGTAACCGTGTTTCCAATTACTGGATTACATTGATTATGTCATCTGGGGCTGGGTTATTGAGCAGGAAGTGCACAGGATGAAATAGTGGGTTTATGATAAACAGCAAGCTGCAGAATGCCTATTGTACGTGCACCCTATTTACAAGGACTAGTCTCACACTCTGAAAAAAGGATAAAAGGTTGCCAAAGTCCAGGTCTATGTAAAATTTAATGTCCTCCCTATGAGCAAACATCACAAGCTACAGTTCTGTGAAAGTATTTACCCTTTCCTGATTTTTTTTATTATTTTGCATATTTGCAATACTTAAATGATTCAGATCAAAAAAAAAAATTTTTTATATTACACAAAGATAACCCAAGTAAATACAGTTTTTAAATAATGATTTAATTTATGTAGGAAGAAGAGCTGTCCAAACTTGCCTGGCTCTGTGTGAAAAACTAATGCCATCTCCCCCCTTGCTAAATCATGAATGAACTGATTAAACACATTTTTTGGAAAGCAGAGTTAAATTTCACTTGCCACACCCAGGCCTGATTACTGCCAGACCAGTTGAATCAAGAAATCACTTAAACAGAAGCTCTCTGACAAACTGAAGCTTGCTGAAAGATTTAAAAAAAAACACACCACATCATGCTGCAATGAGCAACAAAGTAATTGACATGTATCAGTCTGGAAAGGGTGACAAAGCCATTTCTAAAGCTTTAGGACTCCAGCAAACCATGGTGAGAGACATTATCCACAATGGAAAAAACTTGTAACAGTGGTAAACCTTTCCTAGGAGTGGCAGGCCTACCTAAATTACTCCAAGAGCACAATGATGACTCATCCAGGAGGTCATAAAATAGCCCAGAACAACATCTAAAGAACTGCAGGCCTCACTTGTTTCAGAAAAGGTTAGTGTTTATGGTTCAACAATAGGAAAGAGACTGGGCAAAAAATAGCATCCATGAAAGAGTTTTCAAGGCGAAAGCCACTGCTGACAAAAAGAACACAAAGGCCGTGAAAGACTCATTGCCAGCTATTGCAAATGCTTGCTTGCAGCTGTTGCCACCAAGGGTTATTAGGTTTAGGGGACAATTACTTTTTCACATAGGGCTAGGTAGGTTCGGACAGCGGTTTTCATCTTAATAAATGAATCAGGAAGAGGCAAATACTTTTTCACAGCACTGTACCTATAATCTTTAGCAGAAAGTCTTACTCGGTTTGCCTTTCATACCAGTTTCATATTGTTGGCAAGGTCTGATTTGCTTGACATTAAGGCTCAGCTCTACAAATTGAGATTTCCCTGGTCAATGAGTGATCTTACTAGACAGAGAAACTCATTGGCCCAGAGGATGTGCCTAAACAAAAAAACATGAAGAATTTTTTAAATATAATTTCACGCTACATCTGCTGGAGATGAAAAAAAAAAAAAAAAAAAAAAAAAAAAAAAAATCACAAACTGCTCACCTGACTTCTGTGCTCTATGGAATTTGACTCCTTGCCAGTTTTAAGCTCCAGAGGCATGATTTTCAAGTGGCTTTGTATTTTCTGGTGTATTTTTACTTTGGCCGTTACATCAATTTTACCTTTCAAGCCAAATCTTGGTGACCAAATGTTCTCCTCAATGTCTAAAAACTCAGACACTCGAGCTGCACTTCCGCCAGTTGATCTAGAATTTAACATATTACACTGATACGCAATGTGTATAAACCTACAAACACAACACGCTTTTCAATTTAGGGCCATAAGAAATGAGATAGGCCATTAATACATCACAGTTACATAGTCTGGCTGCAAAAAGACTAAGGTCCATCCAGTTCAACCATACAAAAAAAAAAAGTTATAATCCTATACCCACAGTTGATCCAGAGGAAGGCAAAAAAACCAGCAAAGCATGATCCAATTTGCTCATGCAGGGAAAAAAACTCCTTCCTGCTCCCCCGAGAGACAATTGGATATTCCCTGGATCAACTTTACCTATAAATATTAGTATCCAGTTATATTGTGTGTATTTAAGAAAGAATCCAGGCCTTTAAAAGCAATCCACTGAGCTGGCCAGAACCAACTCTTGAGAGAGCCTATTCCACAGTTTCACAGCTCATACTGTGAAGAAACCTTTCCGTGTTTGGAGATTAAATTTCTTTTCCTCCAGACGTAAAGAGTGCCCTCTTGTCCTCTGTGATGACCTCAGGGTGAATAGCTCTACACCGAGTTCACTATATGAACCACTGATGTATTTATACATGTTGATCATATCCCCCTTAATCTCCTCTTCTCAAGAGAATAAATTCAGTTCCTCTAATCTTTCCTCATAGCTGAGCTCCTCCATGCCTCTTATCAGTTTGGTTGCCCTTCTCTGTACTTTCTCCAGTTCTCCAATGTTCTTTTTGTGAATTGGTGCCCAAAACTGAACTGCATATTCCAGATGAGGTCTTACTAATGATTTGTACAGGGGTAGAATGATATATCTCTCTCTCTGGAGTCTATACCTTTTTTTAATACAAGAGAGGATTTTGCTCGCTTTAGAAACTGCAGCTTGGCATGCCATTACTGAGCTTGTGATCTACCAGAACTCCCAGATCCTTCTCCACCACTGATTCCCCCAATTGTACCCCCCCCCCCCTAGTATGTATGATGCATGCGTATTCTTAGCCCCCAAGTGCATAACCTTACATTTAATCAACATTAAAACCTCATTTGCCACATAGTTGCCAAATTAAACCGTGCATTGAGGTCGGCTTGTAAATTGAAGACATCCTGTAAGGGCGTTATTCCACTGCACAGCTTGGTGTCATCTGTCATTAGGATTAATCAATTTCTCATTATATATATATAATTTTTTTTTCCTCTGGAAATTCAAAAATATATTTTTTTCCTCAAAATTGCCGGGTTTTTTTCGTTTTTTTTTAATAGCACAAAAAATAAGGATGCACAGGTGATCAAATACCAACATAAGAAAGCTCAATTTGTGGGGGAAAAAAAAAAAAAAAAAAGGACGTAAAATTTGGGTGCAGTATTGCAAGACCGTCAGTTAAAGTAACGCATCGCCCCAACGCACAAAATGGCCTGGTCAGGAAGGGGGGGGTAAATCCTCAGGAGGTCAAGTAGTCAAATACCATCAAAAGAAAGCTCTACAGTATGTGTGAAAAAAACTATATAAATTTATTTTGGGTACAGCGTTGCATGACCAAGCAATTTCCAGTTAAAGTGGTGCAGCGCTGGAAAGCAAAAAATGCCCTGGTCATGAAGGGGATAAAACCTTCCAGAGGTTAAGTGGTTAATAAGCGTACAACTAAGTGATTTATTCTAGGCTCCTAAATTAATCTACCACTAGGTTAACCTCAGCACAAAGTTTTTAAGTTCTTGTGCTTGCTCCACCCTAGGCACATGCTTTTTCCTGATCTGTGATAAGTACAGAAGCCACATGGAGTCAGGCAACTAGCTTTTTCCAAAGAAAGGTTAGCAATGGTGGCCTATATATTTTGTTTGTGGCTGATGTATGTGAATTTACCCAGAGAAATTACATAATGTACACTAAGTGATTTAATTTCTTTGGATAAGTTATTTTTCATGGTATTGGTACTTTTATACATCAAGTTATAGGCATTTTTCCTCCCAATTTAAAAAGGTTGGTGAAATGAATGTTTATTTCACCAGACCACACAAGTATCCTTACAATTAAACCAATTTATAAAAGATTGTTACAAAAAAAAAAAAAAAGTTGGATTTTTTCCTACATACTGACCTGTAAAATCAATTTCTTGGAGTACATCACGGGACACAGAGCAGGCTATTCATGATTATGTGGGTTATATGCCATCTACAGGTGGCCAAACAGAGAAAGTCCTCCCCTATATAACCCCTCCTACACAGGAAGTACTTCAGTTTTGTAGCAAGCTATGACATTCCAGAAAGAGGGGAGGGACCTCTGTGTCCCATGATGTACTCCAAGAAGTGGATTTTACAGGTAAGTATGTAGAAAAAAAATTATGTGACGAGTCACATAGCAGGCTATTCATGACTATGTGGGATGTGTTAAATTAATGAAAAAAAAAACTGAGTGGCGGGCGACACCATGGTAGCCACCGCTATCATTTCCAAAGGACCTATTCAGCTGTTCATAAAACGCTGTGGACAAATGCAGAATCCTCCACGGCTGACATCCGCCTTGTAAAACCTTGTGAACGTATGAACCGAAGACCATGTAGCGGCCTTGCAAATCTGAGCAACTAACGCCAGATAGCCCAGGATGCCCCCACACTCCTGGTAAAGTGGGGTCTAACCCAAAAGGATGGAACCTTATACTTTAAACCCATAGGGTTGAATGATTAACTGGCAGATCCAACGAGAAATAGTGGACCCCGGAAGCTGCCTGCCTGACCTGCGTCGCCAAACTCAAGTAAATCCTGACCACCTGAACTACATTCAGAGTATACAACGAACTTTCCCCTGCCAACTGTGGACTAGGAAAATAAGAAAGGCAAGACAATGTCCTAATTTAAGTGAAAACTAAAAACCACTCTAGGCAAGAAGATGGGTGAGAATGCAACATCACCTTATTATGCAAGACCATGAACACTTCCTTACATGAAAGCGCCACCAGCTGTTAGACTCTCCCTGCTGAAGTGACAGTAATCAAAGAAACCATCTGCCGAGTCAAAGGACTACATTTCTTTAATTGGTTCAAAAGGTGGCCTCT